ACAAGGCCCGGCAAAGCACGAGGAACGGAACCGGTGGACCGGAAGTCAGCAGTTCTGGCGCTGGGCCCATTACACGGACCCTCTGCTGACTCAATCCCTGGTAGATACCCGATTCAAGTACCGGTTGCCATCAAGTTAAATCCAACCCAGAGGGACTCTTTCCGCCTGTCCTGCACGTATCCCGCATCTTCCCTAACAGAAGCCAGAGACGGTGCAGCGGCAGGCACCAAGCACATTTACCATCTTCACTCGCGAGTCCTCGCCTCTCAAAAGCAAGCCTGGCCGAGAGCGAGGACACCATGGGAGTCGGGCTCGTCTACCGGGCAGGGACCAGGGTGAGGCGGCTGAGGCGCCCGCTCTCAGCACTGGGCCAGCGCAGGGCCGGCCGGGGAACCCTGCTCACGTGCCCAAGCACGTACAGCCTCTTCCTGCCTGCCTGTAGCTCCTCTCCTGGCATCTCCCCTTCTCCACTGCCACATCTACCCAATCCTGTTACAGGACGCTCATCTTAACCCAGAATTGACAAACAAGGTCACACTTCACCAGAGTGCGAATTATATGAAAGGGAAAGCTATAAAACCGTAGTCTGTCGTCAGAATCTCTAATGATTATAATCTCACCTTCCCCAGTGAAAACTGTGTCACACGCCACATAATTTCCAGTTGGCCGGCAAAGTGAGCCACAGGCCGTGCGTACCCCGTGACCACATGGCAGAGCCACCTCAGCTGGCACGCAGATCGAGCTACCGTCCTTGTCAGGAGGGGTCTTGACTTCCCTGTGATCTGAATCACGCAGGTGTTCTGAAGAGCAGCCCTGAGCTACACGAGCGACTAGGCCCAGCTACTCGCTTAGGACAATTCCCGCGGCCACCAAACGGTTTCACCAGCTACGACACAGGCTCAACCCTGGGCTACTGGCTAGTCCATCACCTCGCGACAAGCTGACAGACCTGCTTCCCACTTGTTCTCATATGGAACCGCCCCATAGCTCGGTCTCCCCGTCCTACTTGCTCCGGTCGTATTCGGCTCACGATTCCCCGGGATCTCTTCCCTTGGTGACGCACACAAGGGGTAACATACGCTTAAGCTTTACAGTCACAAATATCCTTAAGCGCAACTGGTGAGATTCAGCGGCTCAGACTATGATTTCACTGTCGAGCACCAAAACTTAAGCACTTCCTTCTCTTCCTCCTTCGGGAGCCAGATGTGGCCACCTAATATACACTTCAGAGACTGAAATAGGAAATGGCACAGGAAAACTTTCACATCATAGGAATTCTGGCATCTGGATAGGATCCGAGATAATCACCGAATCCCCTCGGTAGATAAGGAAACGGGAGACAGCTCAACACGCTCACACACTTGCCCGAGGTGAGACCAGGACGAGTGCGGAGCTCGGACTGAAACTCAAGCCTCAGCTAGAATCCCCGGGCAGGCTTGGTGTCGGACCGCATATGGTGCTGAGTGAAAGAGTCCGGGCCACAGGCAGACCAGTAAATGGCACAGTACCTGCTTACCTGTTTGGATCCCTGTTTCTTGCTCTAACTGCTGGTAGAGTTTGTTGGAATAGTCTGCCATCTTCTGCTCGATGGTCAAGTGCCTGGCGGTGCTCAGGATGCCGGCACAGAACCTCGTAGAGCCAGCGGCCAGCCTGCGGGATGGATCCAAAATGCTCTTAGGTAGACTCGCATATCTGTGAATGCGACTAGTTCAAAGACCCTCATTACTGGCACCGACCGTAATATCAAAAGATGGAAACCTAAATATCCCGACAGGAGAGGGATTTCAAATGTTGGCGTTCACCTACACGACGGGACGCCGCGCAGCCATAAAAAAGGCACGAGAATGCTCTTCTGCAACAATATGGGAATCCTAATGAAAACAGCATGGGAGGAGCACTACTTAATATGCTACTAACTTGTACAAAAAAAGAGAAAAAAACAGCAAGTGAAGACCCACGTACACACGTACACGCTGACCAACACGTTTGCCCATATACGCGGGGGGTGTCTGGAACGACACACTAGGAACTTAATTTGCCTCCAGCGAGGGAAACTTCAGCTAGAAGTCAGGGATGAGAAGCAGACTTTCCCTGCACACTCTTTTACAGTTTTTAATTCTGAATCGTGTAAATGCATTGCCTATTCGGAGAGAATTACAACAGACTTGTTAAACGTCATTCAACTTCTGGTAGGCAATAGAACAAAAAAGGACTGTAAGGGAAAGTGAGACAACTCATACCAAGTACGAACCTTAGTCAGTAATAAGGTTTCCATACTGATTCATCATATTTAACGGTAACCCCAACCTAAGATGTCAGTCCCAGGTGCACACAGGCGTGAGGCACACGGGAACTCGGTACAACCTTTGCATTTGTTCTGTAAATCTAGCACGGCTCTAAAATAAGTTAATTCAGTGGGGGGAAAAAAAGGAACAGAAAGAAGACAGGATGCAGCCAATTTCATTTCCGCCCATAGAGGGAGCTCCAGAGCCACGGGGTCTACGTTGCCATTTGACCGCCCCTACCCAGAGAACGAGATGGTAAGATGTGCCTGGACCCTGAAATAAAACGCACCCTCTTCGGATACTCGGCTTCGCGGCATCTGCCACCTCTCTCAGAGCCCAAAAACACGGGTATTGCACATCGTGAAACCATGGACAGGAGATTTCGCCTTTCCGTGACTGTTCTCATGCTACTTAGCGACAGGTTAGCCACTGCCGGGACAGGTTACCGGGAGCAGAGGGGGTGAGGGAAGCCCACGCAGTTGGTGCAACATGGCCCCAAGCCGGGTCCCGTCTGGTCCTTACCTGCCCTGCTCCAAAAGGACAATATCCTTCCAGCCCATCTTGGAGAGGTGATAGGCCACGGATGTGCCCATGATTCCACCGCCACAGATGACCACCTGTGCCTGGGCAGGCAGGGCGACAGAATGCGCCTCGGCAGCTGGCGCACCGCTTCTCCCCGACGACCAGTTCTGCCATCCTCGGCCGGTCCTTTGTCTCCGGGCCACCGACAGCAACCGGGAAAACATCACGTCTGTCAGTCAGCAGCTCGGAGATGTGCTCCCACTCGGCCAAAGAGGAGATTCTCCCCAGTTCAAACTAGACAGAGAAAGCAAACAGATTTCATTCCACTGTACTCAGTGCGCCGGATTAGTGACAAAAGAAAAGGAGGCAACAGAGAATGACAATCATCATGCCTCATCCAGACAGAGGCACAAGCACATGCAAAGGCCCTGAGGGGAGGCACACCTGAAGGAGTCCGAGCACAGAAGGGAGGCCAGCGTGCCCACAGCTCGACGGCAAGGCACAGTCGACCAGAGACGAGGCCGGAGAGGCAGGCAGAAAGCAATGACACAAGCGCTTGGATGCCTCACGAGCAGCTGGGATTTTACTCCAAGTGCAAAGGAAAATACTAAAGCAGGGAATGAAATGATCTGATACGCTTTTCCTAAGATCAGCCTGGCTCCACAGTGGGGACTGGACTGGAGGAAAGGCAGGGCTAGGAAGCTACCGCAGGAGTCCAAGAGGGAGGGCACGGTGGCTCACACAAGGATGGTGGCGGTGGAGTCAGAGCCATGACTGGATTGTTGTGGATGGTGAAATGACAGTACTTAACTTGCCAACAAACCGGATGTTAAGATGGGGAGCGGGAGAAAGACGGACGATGGCAAAGTTTCCAGGTTAAGCGACGGGTGCCACTTCCTAAGGTGTGAAGGACTAGGGATGCGGAGGGAGGCGGGAAGGAGAGGGAGAGGGAGGCGGTGAGGGCGCGTGCGCGCATACCGAGGTGTCAAGGGCGAGACACCTAGCAGGCATCCACGTGGAAGTGCCAAGCAGCTAGATAACCAGGCCTGAAGCCTGGGGAAGACATGGGGTATCCGGAGACCCGGCAGTCTGAGGAACAACTCTGAGGCTCCCCAGCAGGCACAGCTTGGCAAGAGAAAGAAAGTACTGGACGGGGGACTGCGCGCCGTCCTTTGCATTTGTTCTGTAAATCTAGCACTGTGGGGCAGACTCACAGAGCGTCCAAACGGCTGAGCGGCGGAAAGGGAACCGGGCAGAGGTGTCACAGAAGCCGAGAGAGGAGATGGTTCACTACAGAGGGTGGCCAGGGATGGAGCAAGACGGCCAGGTGCCTGCTGGGACTTGACGACACAGAGGTCCTTGGTGTCCTCAAAGAGGACATTCCCAGGGGAGTGCCAGGGACGAAGTACGGCCTAGAGCAAGCTCAAGAGCAAGGAGATGAGGGAGTGTGCACAGCTTCTTCACGTGCTGCCCGGAAGGGAGCAGAAACCCCAGACAGGAGGAGAGAATGGGGGTGGAGCAAGGCTATTTGTCTATAAAGGTGGGAGCCACGGAGACTCAGGGCTGGCGAGAAGGGCCAGGAAGAGGGAAAGAGGTGGGGGAGGAAGGAGAGGCGGTGACAAAGAATGAGGTCCTGGAAAGGAAGGAAGGGAGGGAGGGAGACTGAGAGAGAGAGAGAGAGAATGAACCCAAAGCCGCAGTGAGGGACGGTGTGCCCCGCGTCTGCACAGGCCACAGACTGGAGACGCCAGGTCCCACGGCCCCTTCCTGAAAGCAGGGGAGGACTGGTCATGGCGGGCTTATGACGAACCACGGGAGTCACAGGCTGCGACCAAGCGCATGTCCCTCTGAGATGACTAACACCATGAGGTAGATTAGGGAGCGGACAGGTTCAGGCCACCAGGGAGAATTACTCTAAGGGCATAAGAGGACTGTTCAATTTTTAAGAAACTGCAGACAGCCCTGTGGGCGAAGGCACGGTCTCCGAGTGTGGGGAGACGGCGACACTTCAGAGGAGAGCCCTGGCAGCCCGTGCGCCCACCAGCACGCCGCTACCAGCCCGGGACCCACGGAGGGCCCCCGACGGCCCAGGTCGTCCAAGGCCAAGGTGTGGGTGCCCATCCATCAGACAGGATCTCAGAACTGAGACCGAGCAGGCCTCCACTGCGTCCCAAGGAAATCCCATCCAACCAGGGCTGATTGCTTTGGCCACCTTGTGGTGATCTCCAGGCCTCACCTCCTTGGTCCCCGCCAAACCGTCTCAAGACAGAAGCTTCTCCACAGCCAGACTTCCCACAATCTCATCTCCATATGACCGATTTCTCTCTCTCTCTCTCTCTCTCTCTCTCTCTCTCTCTCTCTCTGCTGTCCTCCCCTCCAAACCTCTCCACCGTGTCCTCCAGAACATCCTTTCCAAACTGGAACACCCAGCCCTTCACCTAGCTTCTCTCCACCTCTGCTTCAACAGAGACACAGCTCTACTGAGGGAAACGCCACTGCCACGTGGCCAGCCCGTCCCACTGACCTTGCCATCAGGAGGGGGGGGGAGGCGGGCACCCTTCTCCCTTCAGAACCATTACCACTTGGTCATGCTTGAAAAGACCCTGTTCCCTCATGGCTCACACTAGCAGGCACCCCGTAGCTAGCCCCGGGCCACTGCGTGTTCAGCCACAGGCAGATGTCTGTCTACATTCAGGTTCTGAACCCACAACACTGCTCCTCTCCCAACCTGGGACCCCACCTCCTTCCTTCCTTCCAAACACAAAACCTGTCTCCTCAACTCCTGAAACTCCACCTGCATCTACGACCACCTCTTCCTTCAACCTCGTAGGGTCAAAAGTTGATCCCTCCCCACGTGCCCTGGATCCCTCTCTCTCCTTCCTTCCCTTGACTCCGCTCCATCAACTGTCCCCTTCCACGTACCTTCAGTGTTTCCTCCAATCCTCAGCATTTTAATACGCTCAAGTCCCTCCCAACTGACTTAAGAAATACAGGAAAGGCTCCATACCAGTCTTCCAATGGTGATTTTTAATTTTACAAATTCTGAATTATAAAAATTGTGGTCTTTGTAAACAACACAAACGTAGAAGGAAATTAAGATCTCCCATCATGCAAAATACTCGATTCCAGGGCTGATGAAATTTCCCCAGACTTATTTATCTTGCAGCACGTGCTCCCCTGACACCCACCTGTGTGCCACCACCTGTCTTAAAGTCCTTTTTGTTACACCTCAGTGATTGCACAGTCTGCCGGCGGGTTACACCAAAATTTACTATGACGTCACAACCTGTCTTTTTCACTTGACAAGAAGGGCTTCCTATGGTATCTGTCACTTTCCCCCCTTTCCACCGTCCCGAACCCAAGCGGTTAAGCTCCCGTCCCGCATGCCGGGATACTGCTCTCACCAAGAATGCCACTGTTGCCACCTTCCAGGGACACCGGGCCCATCTCACTCACCCTCTCCACAGCACTGAACACCGCCGATCGCTCCCGCTACTCACGCACTCTGTCCCTGTTTTATTTTGACACCGACTACCCCGGTCACATCTACACCGCCTTCTCTCCCCTGCCCATCCTTCTGTGTTGCTGTCCCTCAGGGTGTCTGGGACCAGCTTCTCCTCTCAGTTCGCCACCCTCCAGGGTCATTTCACGCGTACCAAGACTGACGCCTAAGCCCACAACAGCCCCGAGCTTTACATCTGCACCTCGAGCTGAACAATGGCCATGTCCACTTGGGTTCCCGTGGGTCACACCCAGCACATCCAGAAGGGAAACCCACCTGCCTCAATCTCCAAATCTGCTCCACTTCTGTGTCCCGCAGTGACACCATACACAAGAATCCCAGGTGTCACCCTGGGTTCCTCCCTCTCTCTCACCTCCTCTATGCGGCCAACCGTCATGGACTAACAATTCCACAGGCGACATTTCCCTCAGACCATCGACTTCTCCCCCTCCTCACTGCCATTACCTGAGTACAGACCGCCATCCCCGCTCAGATGAAGGCAGAAGCTTCCCGACAGGGCTTCCGCACACCATTCTCCCCAGCCCCCCTCAATCCTTCCGAGGAGGGGCGTGGAGGGAGGCTTCTCAAATGAAACTCTTGTTCACACCCCTCCTCAAAACTCTGCAATGGCTTTCTGGTGCCCTGAGGAAAACAGCATTCTCCTGAACAGGAAGTGTGCAAGATCCTTCATCATCAGGCTCATTCCTGACCTCTGGTCTCTTTCTCTCCTCTCCAGCCAGACGGACATACGTATAATTCCTCCAACAGGACAGGCATTGAGTCTCTCTGAAACCCCCAGGATCTGGGCACACTGTTCCTTCGAACCACACGGCATAGTTCCTGCCCCCCTGCCCCCCCAACATGGATAATCCCCTCAGCTCTCACCCTGTTTCACAGCTTATCAGACCCCCCCTCTCCCCCAATACCGCCTCAGGTGACTCTTCTGTGTTCTCCCACAACACCCTGCACTTCTCCAGCACAGAGCCTCCCACGCTGTCACAGCCTGTTTGCCAATCAGGGAAACGGCACAACGACCCCGCTGCAAATGCAGGCTTTGGGGGCAGACAGGTATGGGTCTGAAAATCTCCCCCACCTCTCATCAGCTCTATGGCTTTGAGCAAGTCATTCCATCTCTGTGCTCCAGGCTCCTCATCCACAAGGTGAGCTACGAACACCTGCCTCGCCGGGTTGCCACCAAGACTACAGGAACACAGACAATACAGGAAAAGCATGGTAACTGGCACCCGAGAAGCACTCAGTAAGTGCTAGTTTTTAGTCTCCTCTTACAATGGAGCTCTCTGGGAGCTGAGACCAGTTACCACTTCAACGTGATTCTGCCGGCATTCAGGGTAGGCACCTAGGAAATACAACCAACGGAGGAATGAGAATATACAATAAACGAGATGGCAAAAATTCAGTGAGGACCCTGAGATCTTGAGGCTAGGCTCCAAGATTTCAGGGCATATCTAAATCACATAGAGTAATTTTTTAAAATTGTTTTCGGGTTTTTTTGTTTTTCAGAGAGAGAAAGGGAGCCAGCAGGAGCCGGGGAGGGGCCACAGAGGGAGAGAGAGTATCTTAAGCAGGCTCCACGCTGAGCATGAAGCCCGATCTGGGGCTCATCCCATGACCCTGGGATTGTGATTTGAGCCAAATCCAAGACACTCAGCCAACTGAGCCACCCAGGCCGGTAGAGAAGAATCTGAAGATGTCAAAGACAAAGAAATAAAAGGTGTAGCCGGCTTTAAAATAAGTTATATTTAAAAACAAAAAACAAAAAACAAAAAACTAA